TGGACACACGACACACACAGCACACAATAACGAGTGGACACACGACACACACAGCACACAATAACGAGTGGACACACGACACGCACAGCACACAACAACGACACACACAGCACACAACAACTTGTTGGCACGCACTATATACGCCACTTCCTGGTCCCCCGCTCCAGGAAATGACAAGGGTCGTGTTATTGTTGTTGCTAGAATGACCAAGAAACATATCAACCATCCTGTCTGTAGACTGGTACCGGTTGAGTGGCTCCCCACTCTCAAGGAATTATCGGCGAGATAAAAGGGCCGGCCATGTTTACTTTTAATTAATCTCTACCCCAACTTGGCGCCAGGTGATACGTATCTATAGTTTGGGGTGAATGCGGGACGCAATAATCAACTTCCTTGTTTTAGTTTTTCTAAGAGTTTTACGGCGTTCGCAACTGCATAAGCCTGTCCCCGTGGTTTTATGCACCCCGCATAAGTTTGCAAAATTTGATCATTTTTGGCAATATTTCTGATTATTTTCCTTCCTCATTCTTTGTTAAAATTAACAGAATCGCATAATTTCACAATTTTTGGGGGCTCAGTTTGCGTAATTTCAGAATGTTTCTTGCATAAAGCGACGGGGACAGATCAGGTCACATGAGCGCTCATCATCAGCACGCCTCGAGTAAGTGTCATCATCACGTTCACCATGAACCAGCCTCTGTGAGTGTCATCATCACGTTCACCATGAACCAGCCTCTGTGAGTGTCATCTTCACGTTCACCATGAACCAGCCTCTGTGAATGTCATCATCACGTTCACCATGAACCAGCCTCTGTGAGTGTCATCATCACGTTCACCATGACCAGCCTCTGTGAGTGTCATCATCACGTTCACCATGAATCAGCCTCTTTGGTGGAGCGGTCAAAAACTTTGCTACCACGCCTAGGAGACTGGAGCTTGAACCCCGAAGGGAGACTCTTTGTCCAGTATCTGGATCTTTCGACTGTGACGTCGTATTCATCCCACCCCTGCACTGAAGGAGCCGATTCTGCGGGAACTTTTCTTTCAAATTTGGAACATCCGGGTACACTGAGGAAACTGTAGTCTTTAAAACACTGGACAATGCAAACAGTAACCACAACCCCATGTGAGATCTGGCTTTAGCCAATGCCATGTAAGATCTGGCGTTAGTCAATGACATGTAAGATCTGGCTTTAGCCAATGCCATGTAAGATCTGGCGTTAGTCAATGACATGTAAGATCTGGCGTTAGTCAATGCCATGTAAGATCTGGCGTTAGTCAATGACATGTAAGATCTGGCGTTAGTCAATGACATGTAAGATCTGGCGTTAGTCAATGCCATGTAAGATCTGGCGTTAGTCAATGACATGTAAGATCTGGCGTTAGTCAATGCCATGTAAGATATGGCGTTAGTCGATGACATGTAAGATCTGGCGTTAGTCAATGACATGTAAGATCTGGCGTTAGTCAATGACATGTATGATCTGGCGTTAGTCAATGACATATAAGATTTGGCGTTAGTTAATGACATGTAAGATCTGGTGTTAGTCAATGACATGTAAGATCTGGCTTTAGTCAATGACGTGTAAGATCTGGCGTTAGTCAATCACATGACTGTCACATGACCTCGACCATGTAAAACTTCTCTCATGTGCTTCTGTCAACTGAATGGACTGTGGGAATGGAAAGGTCAGAGTTAACTATGGAGAACTCAATCGTGTCTTCAGTTGACTGGGGTCAAATCACAATCTGTGTGTAGAACTAATCCACGAATCAATCGCCCCCGTATGTCTTAAAGACAGTAATTAACCTGTATCTATACATGCAGACAATCACCTTCTGCCCACACCTGTGCAGGAAACAACTTCTTATGGGGTGGGGTGGGGGGGGGATACTTTTACTTTTATGATGTCTTTTGGAATGAAATTATCAGATCTTCTGTCAACTGGCCTTGTTACACTAATTATGTTTCTTTCATAACCAGACACTTCTCCCAAGCCTTCATGGCTCTCACATTCCGCCAATAACTCACAAAATGACTCACACTCATGTCGATTCTGCTTCAAGATGGCTGTTTGTTGCTGTAAGAATTGAACTGATGAGTCATATTGAAGTGGTGAGTCATATTGAAGTGGTGAGTCATATTGAACTGATGAGTCATATATATTGAAGTGGTGAGTTTTAAATTTGTGCAATTGTTCCATCTCAAGTTTCCAGGCGATCATTCAACTTGCTTACCTGTCCCCGCGGTTTCATTCAAAAATAATTCTAAAACTATGCAAACTGAGCCAAAAAATGTGAAATCATGCGATTCCGTTAATTTTAACAAAGAATGATAAAGGAAAATAATCAGAAATTATGCAAAAAATGATCACACTTTGCTAAATTATTGGGGTACATAAAACCACGGGGACAGGCTTACGTGTTGCTTTCTGTTCACAAAGGGAACAATCTTCTCTACATTGTTATCGCCCTTTGTTCTCTCAGTCTGCCACAGAAGGTAAGACAATGTCTTTGTCCTCGTCTGACGGAAGCCATGATTAGACAGCTTCTTGTGGACAGTTAGGGCATGTATTGTTGCCAGACATGTATTGTAGATGTATTGTAGATGTATTGTAGATGTATTGTAGATGTATTGTGGATGTATTGTGGATGTATTGTAGATGTATTGTAGATGTATTGTAGATGTAAGTAGACTTACCACCTTAGAGAATGCATCAGAATAACATTGTCATTGAGTGTGTGTCTAGCTTAGGATTATTATTGTTTATATTGCTGCTCATTTATATTACATATATGCATGTGATTGTAAGCTTACGTGTGAGTGTGCATGTGATGGAAAGAAAGAAAAGTCCTTAATGGTCTTTTTGGTAGTTTCGGGAATTTGTGGACCCGTCTTGCTCTTTGCCCTTATTCTCCTTGGCCTAACATTCAAATCTCTCCATTCGGCACTTATATTATATGACCTTGTTGTGTCGCAAGTGCTGTAAAACACTTACTAAAACCAAAAACCAAACCAAAATCTCTCCTGAATGTGTCCAACACTCTGTATTTTTTAAGAATTTTGCCACAGGCAATATCCTGCAGAGAAAGTCTTGCATTTTTCCTTTCTCCGTGATCTATTTTCCTCAATTTTCACGCCTGAATGTTGCATGTCACAACCTCGGGACACCACTTCCAATTATTCTTGATTTTAATGTTTAGTTTTAGCACAAATTTATTGTTTTCATCTCGGCCCTTCTCGCGTTCTCGTGCCGTGGCATCTTCCAACTGATCATTCTCTAGATCTAGACAATACATTTGAACAAAAAGTTTCCTTCGGACACAAAAGAAGTAGAGGAAAATGACAATAGTAAGGATCAGGAAAGAAAAAACAGCAGTTCCCTGTTGCAGTTCAGGCACAGTTATGAGCGTGACATGATGAATCAGCTCATTTACAATTCTACTGTGCTTGAACGAGAAATGTCCCCTCTTTATGTATGTATAGTATGTCCCCTCTTTATGTATGTATAGTATGTCCCCTCTTTATGTATGTATAGTATGTCCCCTCTTTATGTATGTATAGTATGTCCCCTCTTTGAGAATGGCCTGAAGACACTACAGTCAGTGGTAACAAACACAATGATGGAGCTGTTACAAGAAAGTAACAAAAATAACAGAGATGTTACAAGAGAGTAACAAACAGAGATGTTACAAGAGAGTAACAAAAACAACAGAAATGTTACAAGAGAGTAACAAAAATAACAGAGATGTTACAAGAGAGTAACAAACAGAGATGTTACAAGAGAGTAACAAACAGAAATGTTACATGAAAGTAACAAACACAACAGAGATGTTTCAAGAGAGTAACAAACAGATATGTTACAAGAGAGTAACAAACAGAGATGTTACAAGATCATAAGAGAGTACCAAACCTAACAGAGATGTTACAAGAGAGTACCAAACACAACAGAGATGTTACAAGAGAGTAACAAACACAACAGAGATGTTACAAGAGAGTAACAAACACAACAGAGATGTTACAAGAGAGTAACAAACACAACAGAGATGTTACAAGACAGTAACAAACACAACAGAGATGTTACAAGAGAGTTACAAACACAACAGAGATGTTACAAGACAGTAACAAACACAACAGAGATGTTACAAGACAGTACCAAACACAACAGAGATGTTACAAGAGAGTTACTGACAACATAGATCAGAAAGGACGTAAGAGTTCAGTTTCCACGGACTCTCCAGCCAAGGAAATAACTTTGGCGGCCATTTTCTTGCTAATTTTACCTCCGAAACCAGGTGACATAATTTTCAATGACCGACTAACTCACTCTCTCTCTCTCTAACTGACTCACTCACTCTCTGCACCGTCAGGTATTTAGACAGACTCTGCAATGATGACAAACTAAACAAAAAGCAGCCAAAGACCAAATAATCCAGAGAAGATCACTTTATTTATTTCCGTCAGACTCACCATGTTTACATTTTCTTGGATCAAATATCCACAAACATTACGTGTGTCGATCCACTTCAGAGCGTGTCACAACACACAGTAGACCAGGTGTGTGTACAGTTCTGAGCGTGTCACACACAATAGACCACGTGTGTGTACAGTTCTGAGCGTGTAACACACAATAGACCACGTGTGTGTACAGTTCTGAGCGTGTAACACACAATAGACCACGCGTGTGTACAGTTCTGAGCCTGTAACACACAACAGAACCAAACAAAATTCCACAAACTTACAACCGGCAGGAAAACATCTCGAAGCAATCCACTCACATGTATAATTAGAATCTATCACTATCGCACCCTGCCCGTACAAAATGGGTGGCTGTGGCGGAAGGATTATCACTATTGTATCCAAACAAAACACCTGAATCAGATGAGAAGTGCGTGACATGACGACGACCTCATGAATAAATCCTCCTTCATTGACACAAGATTACTAAGACAGTGAGCGAAAAGTTAAAGAGCGGCCGCTCCAGAAATGATCTCAATCAGCTCCCTGGTGATGACGGCTTGACGGGTCCTGTTGAAGGTCAAGGTCAGCTTGTCGATCATCTCACCTGGGGGGAGAGGGGAACAAACGGTAGTCACCTCAGTCAACGCAACAATGTCATACAGTAGTCACCTCAGTCAATGCAACAATGTCATACAGTAGTCACTGATTGTAGTCACCTCAGTCAATGCAACAATGTCATACAGTAGTCACTGATTGTAGTCACCTCAGTCAATGCAACAATGTCATACAGTAGTCACTGATTGTAGTCACCTCAGTCAATGCAACAATGTCATACAGTAGTCACTGATTGTAATCACCTCAGTCAACGCAACAATGTCATACAGTAGTCACTGATTGTAGTCACCTCAGTCAATGCAACAATGTCATACAGTAGTCACTGATTGTAGTCACCTCAGTCAATGCAACAATGTCATACAGTAGTCACTGATTGTAGTCACCTCAGTCAATGCAACAATGTCATACAGTAGTCACTGATTGTAGTCACCTCAGTCAATGCAACAATGTCATACAGTAGTCACTGATTGTAGTCACCTCAGTCAATGCAACAATGTCATACAGTAGTCACTGATTGTAGTCACCTCAGTCAATGCAACAATGTCATACAGTAGTCACTGATTGTAGTCACTTCAGTCAATGCAACAATGTCATACAGTAGTCACTGATTGTAGTCACTTCAGTCAATGCAACAATACAATGTCATATATTTAGTAACAAATTGCAGTCACATCAATAAAAGCAAGAATTTATCTTTCGATACAAAGTTCTATAGAGTTCCAAACTGCCACCTACATCTACTCACAGGTCTTGCTCTTACTGCAGGATCTACTTCTAAAGATATCTTTCTTTTTTTGTTATATTTATGTCGTCCGTCGGGTGTAACTCTAGAAGCACACCTAGACCTATGTCGTCTGTCGGGTGTAACTCTAGAAGCACACCTAGACCTATGTCGTCTGTCGGGTCGAACTCCAGAAGCACACCTAGACCTATGTCGTCTGTCGGGTCGAACTCTAGAAGCACACCTAGACCTAGCACAACCAGGAAAATCAGCGCAGCGGAAATCTCCTTACCGGCGTTCTTGCTGGCGGCATCCATGGCCGTCATCCGTGAGCTCTGCTCGCTGCAGGCGCCCTCCTTCATGGCGAAGAGCACGAGGCTGGCCAGGGAGAACTCGTTGTAGCAGCGCAGCACGTCCTCGTCCAGGCTGTCGTACAAGTTGAACTTCTCCGCTGCCTCGATGGCCTCCGACGAGAACAGGGGCAGCTCTGTGGTGTTGTACGAGATCACACTCCTGGGGACAGACAAACAGACAGATGCACACACTTATGAGATCACACTCCTGGGAACAGACAGACAGACGCACACTTACGAGATCACACTCCTGGGGACAGACAGACAAGACACACACACACACACACACTGCTAGTGGGGTAGGAGGAGCACAGAGTGGAAGAACACGCCACCTCATTTGGTCCTGTGCGCCGGCCATTTCACGACAAGAGAAGCTGCAGTGACAGTGTCATGTGATCACTTTTCTTTTTGTAGGTACCACAAATGCAAATTGCAAAGTCCTCTGATTTCATAGTTAACTGCACTACCTTATAGAATTTATCATTCTGAGCATTTTGATACCAAATTTATACATATATAGCTTCATTTTTCACAAAGTTATGAACATCTGAAGTTGCAGAAAAATGCTATATTTTTAAAATTGCGAAATGTCTCCACTTTGAGCTGTCACAACATTCTTCAATTTGAACGGACGTTCACAAAATCTTGTAGACACACACCCATGCACATAGAGAACAAGCTCAATTTTTTTCAGGGCTATCAAATAAGCAGAAGATGGAAATGTATTGACGTAAACATGGCTTTTTGGCCACAACGGCAAGAAATACAAGGGGAGGTTAAAATCACCACTCGCGACCACCGGCTTATCGGCTGCGCGCCGGGCCGCGCTGAAGGGAAGGAGAGAGAATTTATACGAAACCGGGGCGATGGCGCCCTGCCTTAGAGCCGACGGGTAGCGTCTGGTATTTATTTGCGTATAATTGCTGTGTTATTCTTGAAGAGGAATGAATGAGCTTTCTGCCGATATATTTCCGTAGTCAGTCCGATCACTGGTTCCACAAAAAAAACAGCACCGAAAGTTTTCACACGCAAATCTCTTCTATTAATTTTTTAAGGACAGTCTTTAGAAATATATCACCGGAAAGAGTGTTTTCTCATCTTGAAATATCGATGAATCAGATTGCAGTATTTAATACCATACACTCCCCGTTCCTGTTTAACCGAGGTCACTCAAAAAATCAATACACGAAATGTGTGGCCGCTGCGGTGAAAACCTTGATAGTGTTGTCTTTTATCCCGCAAGATTTTGCTTTCAAAAGAATCGTTGATTCAAATAAACAATACCACTAAAAAGAGGAAAAGCTCCTCTTTCTTCTGATATATCAAGTGTCTGTGCGTATGCATGATCACACAGTGTTTTAGGAGGATAAAAATGTGGGTTTTGGTCTCCGTGACAGTGCGCCACGGGGGCGCACGGCCAGTTTGCGGTACCTACTTTTTGTTACAAGTATCTTCTCCAACATTGGAACCAGTAACTGGACACTCAAGTCACTCAAAGCTGTCCGCTGACACTTTGATATTCAGTCAATTCAGTCCAAGACCCCCCCGCCCATTAACTCTTTATCTCCGAGGGGGTAAACCCACTAGGCCGCGGCCCTTTTTTGGTACTAAAACTACAAATGACAAAAACGTAACTGAAATTTAAAATAATAAAAGGGTCATCAAATCAAAAGTAGCGAACCTATTTCAATAGTTCTTCATCTAATGAATGAACTCCGGTATAAGAGACCTGTTTTAGGCAATTGCCGAAATAAAGTAATTTGAAGTGGAAGTCGTGGTAAAGGAATGTGCCAGAGCCGCTGTCAGCGACTCACCGATACAGTGGTCCCGACCGCCAGCCGCTGGGAGCGACTTGCCGGAGATAAAGAGATAAACATTTTATTAGCACAAAAACTTCCCACAAGTACTGACAATAAGGAGTGGTACTCCTCACTAGTGCTCTCAGTACAAAGAACTGTAGGAATATAGGCACTAGAACACACACAGGTCAAACACACAAGTGCTGAACATAAGGAGTGGTACTCCTGACTAGTGCTCTCAGTACAAAGAACTGTAGGAATATACGCACTAGAACACACACAGGTCAAACACACAAGACTCCAAACCACGCACCCGTCGAACTGTGTCTGTGGTCCCACGGTTTTTTCCTTCTTCTTTATCTTTGTAAGATATCCCTCAAACTACCGATCTCTCGAACTACCGAGGCCGATCCCTACGAGTTCAAGCTAACCGTGTCATTCTAAATAGGGACGATAAATGCTCGATAAGAAAGGAGGCGCAAACCACACCATAGAGCAACCACTCGCACAAAACAATCAGACATCAGTTTGACAAGACAAAGTCCCACACACTGTATCTCCGTCTGACATGACACACACGGTCCATCTCAGTCTGACATGACACACACGGTCTATCTCTGTCTGACATGACACACACGGTCTATCTCCATCTGACATGACACACACGGTCTATCTCAGTCTGACATGACACAAGGACACATACGGTCTATCTCAATCTGACATGACACACACGGTTTATCTCCGTCTGACATGACAAGGACACACACGGTCTATCTCAGTCTGACATGACACACACGGTCTATCTCCGTCTGACATGACACACAGACACACACGGTCTATCTCTGTCTGACATGACACACACGGTCTATCTCCATCTGACATGACACACACGGTCTATCTCAGTCTGACATGACACAAGGACACATACGGTCTATCTCAATCTGACATGACACACACGGTTTATCTCCGTCTGACATGACAAGGACACACACGGTCTATCTCAGTCTGACATGACACACACGGTCTATCTCCGTCTGACATGACACACAGACACACACGGTCTATCTCCGCCCGCCGTTCACTCACTTGAAGGTGTTGAAGATGAGCGTGGATCGGTCGTACTTGTAGTCAGTGTTCAGGATTGTGTTGGCCACCAGGGCGGCGTCGCTGAAGATGGGCGGCCTCTTGCCGTAGTCGCTGAAGCTGAACAGAATGTTCTCCGACATGGTTCTGGGGACAGGCAACACGTATTTAGTTTAGTCTTATTGAGAGTTTTACGGCACTGGCAACACAATAAGGTCATAGAAGTACCGTGGATTAGTGTTACAAGAGAGTAACAAACACAAATATGAAGGAGGAGAGATAAAGAAGATAGGTGTTTGATAGGAAAGAAGGAGCATGCCACACCAGAGCACCCACCAACCACCCACCAATACAGGATACCAGTTCTGTCAAACTGGAAGAGACAAAACACAGGGAAAACAAAAACTGACTAAAAAAAAAAAAATTTATAAATTAGTAAATTCATGAATTACACCCAACTGATCCCAGTGAGGAAATTTGGGGTTTTTTTTATTTTTTGTATGAGTTTTACAGCTCTTGCAATACAAATAAGTGACATAACTGCGGAAGATTAGGGGCCTTACTCAGAAGTAAGATACAGAGAAAAAGAAGGAGGAGAGATAAAGACAATAGACGTTTGATTGGAAAGAAATGGCAAACCTCAACAGAGCACCCAACAACCACCCAGTCTCAGATTGAGAAGGTCTATTGTAAAACTAAACATGCTCAGCTGTGACGGCATCAGCTTACCTCTGTAGGATGGCCTTGGCCTTGTCTCCCACCACGATGACCTTGGTCTCTCCGCCGGAACCCTCCTCCTCCACCATGGCCTTGATGTACTTGACCACCGACGAGTGGATGCCGCCGCACAGACCGCGGTCAGATGACATGGCCACCACTAGGTGGTTCGGCTTGGCCTTGTCCTGTGCTATTTCTGCTTTCTCGTAGAAAGCTAATGGAACAACAACAAAAGTTTTTTTAGTTTTAGAAGAGCTTTTCTGGTGCTCGCAACTGCATAAGGTCATAAGAGTGCCAGAAGATTAGAAGTGTTACAAGAGAGTAACAGACATAAAAAGATGGGGAGATAAGGATGACAGATGTTTCATAGAAAAGAAGAAGCAAACCATACCAGAGCACCCGCCAACCACCCACCAAAGAAATTATTTTACAATTACACATCCCATTATAATGAATTATGAAAACAAGACATTCATGTGAATGGTATTTGCACGTGGCAAAGATAATTTTTAATATGAATGTTTTGAACTAAAATCCAGGACGTTCTAAAAAGCATTCTCCCATGAAACTTTACCCACTTCATTTTCAAAATGTGTATTCCCGAAATAGAAAAAAAAAAGCACCATTATAACTGAAGGCTTCGTCTCATCATAGAATTCACATCTGTAGGACCTGTCCAGTCCAGCAAGTTGCCATGCAGCACAAGCTTTTTGACTATAATGACACAAGTGAGACAGTCGCACCTGCTAGGAAGTCAACCTACCCAAGACAATCACCTGTACCAACAGCCATTTCCCACATCTCTCTGGCAGTTTTTTTCTTCTCTATTACAATGACACTGTCAAAGCCATCTACCATTGGACAATTTCGACTGTATTATTCCAATAGTTTCACAATTATTATAACGGCAGAGCTATGGACTCGCACAAAATGCACAACATTATCCAGACAAACGTACCCTTTGCTCCGACTCCATAGGAGCGCGCTGGCTTCAGCTCTCTCTCAGCCCTGGCATACTTGGCAGCTGACACCATCTTCATGGATTTTGTGATTTTCTGAATGTTGGTCACCGACTTCAACCGAATACGAACTGTGGACAGAAAAGTGCCAGTCAGAGAAACGTTTTTCTATTCTGACATTTCATAGTAAGATATTTCTTGGACAAAGCTGTCAATGAACTAAAAATACACCAGAACTGTTTTAGGGGCAATTGCTTTATCATTTAAAACCTCAGGTTTTAACATGAGACTTTCAACACAATTGAGTTTTAAAATCTAAAAAGAGAGCTATTTTTTAGGAAAAAACACCCAAACCATTCAGAGCTTTCAAAAAGTACCCATTTGATTTGTGGGAACAAAGTCGTCTGTCTGCAAAAATCTTAAATCCACCAAATCTAACTTAAAGTTTATTGAACAAATATAACTTATAAAGCTTTATAACTCTGCATTGCTTACAAGGCAAATATATGTGTCACGCCACGGTGGAATCAGGCTCTCGTCAATTTTTGGGTGGAGTTATTGGTATCATCTTAAAGCTTGTAACAACAGTAACATTGTTCAGTTGTCTTGCTATGGGGGAAATAAAATACACATCTATCTTGAATAGAATTCAAGATATTTGAGATTGAAGAAGGTGGGGTCACCTGGTTTCAAAGGTAGAATTAGCGAGGAAATGGCCGCCAAAGATTAGTTATTTCCTTAGCTTGAGAGTCAGTGCAAACAGAAATTTACATTTTTTGAGCTTTTAATCAACGTTTTTCAGTGAAATCCACACAGGAAAGTGTTCTTTAATGAGCATGAAAGGTGTTGAGTCAAAAAACAAAAAATTCTAAAAAAAACTTCCCTAACCTGCCGAAAAAAGCCATTTTCTTGACTTTCATTATTTTGACGAGCGCCTGATATCACCACGCTACCTCACATGTATTAGTAAAACAGGACATACTCTCACACTTATCAAAAATATCTTTGATTCAAAGTCAGATGACAGGGGAAAGCACATCAGAATTTGAAAACATTACAATTCTATGACAATTATTCAATTACTATTGAGTTACACTCAAATATTCTTCTCAAATACACAAAGAACATGCTCCGATACTTACTTTCTTTCAACGTGGCCATGCCACGAACCTGTATTTGGCCACTGAAATTTAAAAAAAAAGAAGCATATTGAATAAATATCTTTAAAATTCCTCATTCTTACTTCTCTACGTACTATGAGAACTCATGAAATATGTCGTCTGGAAATATTGACAGTTTTTTTAAAGATCAGGAAAGCCAGGTGATAGAAAGGCCCAGGTACAGAGGGTAGAATGTGTTGGTCCCTACTTTCTACCAAACTGCCGTTGATCTGTTTTCATCTCAATAAAACACAAAATTAAAAATGACAAATAATGAAAATTATAAGCTTCTTTTGAACCGTACTGACAAAGAATGTTCTAAAAAGCCCTTGAAATTCCAGCAGCCGGGGTAAACATGACATTTCAACATCTGGCAGTTAGTGAGTTCATTCAAACTAAAAGAATCTGAACACACCTTGACTGAAGAATCTACACAAATCTCGATTTAAACTACTGCTACTGCACTACGTCTATGCCTAGGTCTGTATTTAAGCCATCATTAGAAAATTCTAAAGCTATTTTTTCACCTTCACTCCTGTCTCATGCTAAAGTATTGTGTATAGAGAGAGCCCTTTTCTTGTTCAGTTGTATCCATCCGTACAGGAATGTTAATTTTAATGTCACAGAGTCAAAGTTTTTAACATCAAAGTGACTATTCCGATTCGAGTCTGAAAACAAAAATTATGTCGGACTCTGAATCAAGTCCAGCATGACATCTCTTCTGACTTCCGACCCTTGTTCCTGAATATTTCCTGCCTTTCTGAAAAATTTGTTCGATTATAATAAAAATCGAGACGTGAGCTTTAATATCCCGTTACTCGATCTATCTAAACTGGCCACTGGCCCTCCCTGCACAATTAACTATATGGAACAGAACAACCAAGCTGAGCTGAGGGACCTTGCCGGGAGCAAATTTTAATATGTCTAACTTAAGTCTTTAAGTCTAACTTCTAGAACGTCTACTGCCATTGTTAACGAACCAAAACGTATTTCTCCCTGCGAGATGAATAAAGACTGTCATTGTCATTGTCAAATGAGAATGTGCGTAGCGATCACGCACTCTCTGCTTGCTGGGGGAAGAGGTATTGGGAAGAGGCCATGGTCGTCGATTTTGTGTGATGTATTTTTATATATTTCTAAAAACTAAATACAGCAAAACATTATAACACAACAGAATGAAACTCTTTACATGTTGAAAGACAAATGGTGGTGGGGTGCCGTGGTAGAAGTAATCTGATGCTGTTAACTGGTAGTGTTGCCCAGGGCTGGTTACCGTGTATGTCGACCCTGAGTTGTCGGTTACCGTTTACGTAAACACTGCCATTGGGCAATGAGGAGAGTGCAGTCTTTTGACTTTTGACACAGTTACACACTCCTAGTAAGGAAATCTAGTTCTACTTCTGGTTTTACATAAAATCCCCCGACGACAGTTATGTAACCTCCTTACACCCATGTAACTCACTTAGAAACCGAGTCCAAATAAATTTTAAAAATTTTGGACCCGAGTCCAAATAGATTTTAAAAATCTGATTGGACTTGATCATTCATACCATAGATCTATTACTATTACGCTTAGCCTAACTTTGTAGTCGATTAATTGTTGCACTTTGGACCATTCTTGGGTTTCAGGGGAACATGCCCACATGAGGTAAAAACAAATGCCCCCCTATTTTTCATCTTCGCAATTTTAGGTCTCAAATTTTCTTGAAAATGATTTACAAGAACAGCTTTAATGGCTATAAAATCTGCAGCCAAAAAGAAGCCTGTTTGAACCACGTCAAAAGCAGTTCATCTATGTGCAGGAGTGAGAGTAAAAGTTTACCACATTCTATTCATCTGGCTCATGATTGTCACAGGGCTTGAATTATAATGTATTCAGGAGGGCAGGCAAAAATTGTCTCGGTGGGGCCCAAAAATCAGAGGGCACCGAGGCAATTTGCTAGGGCACCAAGGCAAAAATTATAGGTGATTATTTTGTTGATTAAAGTTGGTTACCAGATCGTGCATCACAACGTTAATGAGCATTTGCCAAAAGGTGGGATACCTGGGTGTGACAAATGAGGTCCAAAATCAACTTTATGTAATAATTCTTTAATCACCCATATTATATAGCCTAATGATTGCTCTTTCAGACTCAGTAACTGCCAAAGCTGTATATGCAAGGGTCTTGGTGTAATTCTGACTTGAATGACGGAAATAGCAAAAAGTTCGTTCATAACAATGATGACACAAATTTATGAATACTCAAAGTTCCTTTCTTCAGCTAGGCTGATGTTATATTTTGAGACATAGCAAATAACTTCCAAAACTACATAGAATTGACAATTTATAAAAATCTTTATTAATTTTTGATAAAATTACTTTTTTGTGTCATAATAGTTATGAACGAACAATAAGTGACCAAAATACTATCAATTATATCAAGTTTCATCTACTAGAATTGTCTAAAATAACACTCAATTGACTAATTATAGTCAAGTGATAAATGAAAGACCATTAAACAGCTATTTTTAAACGCAGACTGGTCTTAGGGCATATTATGCATAAATTTAAAGTTCGTTCATAACCATTATGACACACTGTTTCGTTCATAACTATTATGACAAATTTTACTTTTGGCCTCTAAAATTTACTTATATTGTTCTGTCTTTCACATAAAACGGTTTTCATTTATGAGGCTTTCCTTAAAATGATAGATTCCTCTATGTAGGGAGAATTCCAAGTTTATATTTCCTGAAAAACCCTTAGAATACCTTTAAAATGGTTCGTTCATAACAATTATGACAAACTTCAATTTTGACCTAAAAATTTACTCATTTTGATCTGTCATTCATTTTTTAAAACTTTTATTAAATGAAACTCTCCTCATAATATGTATCTCTGTACATGTTTTTAAAGTTTGTTAACACTGAAAAGCCCTCAAAATATATAAAATGGACTATAAATAGTTCGTTCATAACCATTACTACAAAAGTATAATACTAATTAAAATCCACACCCATACACTTATGATAAAAATCAAAATATCAGAATGTATGCAAGGTCTATTCTGTCCTTTAGTTGGGTTAAAATTAAAAATACATCCCAAAACAACTGTAAATTACATGGAATTAGGTTTCGTTCATAACAGTTATGACACACTGTTTCGTTCATAACTATTATGACAAATTTTACTTTGGGCCCAAAAAATTAACTTATTGTTCTGTCATTCACATAAAATTGTTTTAATTTATGAGACTCTCCTCAAAATAAGGTTATATGTTGGAAGAATTCAAAGTTTAATCACTGAAAAACCCTTAGAATACCTTTAATTGTTCGTTCATAACTATTATGACAAACTTCAGTTTTGACCTAAAAATTAATATTTTGACCTGTCATTTACTTTAAAATTTCATATTAAATGAAAGTTTCCTCATAATATGTATCTGTGTACATGTTTTTAATGTTTATCAACTCTGTAAAGCCCTCAGAGTACAATATGTAGTTCGTTCATAACCATTACTACAAAAGTAAAATACTAATTAAAATCCAGACCCATACACTTATCATAAAAATCAAAATATCAGAATATAAGCAAGGTCTGATACATCCTCAAGTTGGGTTAAAATTAAAAATACATCCCAAAACAACTGTAAATTACATGGAATAAGGTTTCGTTCATAACCATTATGACACACTGTCACGTTCATAACATGATGACAATCCATTATGACAAGCATATTTTTGCCTCTCCTTCGCTTCTCTTTTGAGTCATCAGCACGATACTCTTCCATGTTCATTCCACCATGTAAAAGGATGTTGTGAAACAGTGGGAAGTCCCTCACATGATATTTTGCAGAAATATCATGAAGTGTTTGTTCATAACATCATTATGACAAACCTGGATTATCTCAATCAAAGTCATATTTAAGCAAAACCATGCGATGGAGCGGAAAATTACCCTTCTGATGGATCAATGTCAAACCAATATTTAATACCGGTCATTTCCCGGGATGATATGTTTAACGATTTAGGTTTTCTAGACCTTGGAAAGTCTGATGATGTAATTATGACACGAGTTATGAACGAACTTATAAATTTTACTCAGCAATAACATCATTAATATAAAAAAATAAAACCCTTTTAATGGACACACGCTGTTATGATGGTGTATACAAACTATTTTCAATGTTTGAATGCACTACTGTTTGATAGTTTAAGATTAACAATATTCTGTATTTAACATACAATTACGTGTGCACTCAGGATGAGTAAAAAATGCCCTATTTTTAGTACTATTATCTTTCTATGTAGAGATATAAGATGCACACATCAATCCACTTGCTCATGCAGCTTGACCAACTTATTTCCTTGCCATATGCATAAAGTTTTCAGAAGAAAACATATTTTACCATGAGTAGTGGTTGATTAAAAAAGTCCTCATGCAAACACCCCCACCTTTTGGCAAAAGCTCGAATATAAATAACAATAATATTTATTGATGCTCTCCACAAAAGTATAGAGTTATCGGAAAATTTTTAAATCATGAATGAAAACTTAAGTAAATCACAGTAAAATCACACCAAAACAAAATCACAAAAAATCACAGTTTTTAATCAAATACACTAAAAATCACAGTTTTTAATCAAATACACTAAAAATCACAGTTTTAAATTAAACAATATGCCTTTATGACTAGCTCTTATTGATTATTGAGTGGATTAAAATCATGAATTAATATGACTGTTGACAATAGGGCACGATAATAAACAGTAAATAATATTACCAAATAGGTAGCCATTAATCATTTGAGATTCAAACAGAGTGGTTTACCGGCAGTGTAGTGATAAAATAAAAACAAATCGTGGTAAATAAAAACAAATTTTGAACTTGTATTTTTTTTAAATGAGGAGTGAAAACAACTTATGAACTTGTTTGAAAAAAAAAAAAGAATGAATAACTAAAAACTGCTGTCAAGCAGTTAAACAGTGTTAGGCTCTGACTATGAAGCGAAAACAAGTTTTGAAAATACATGTTTTAAAGTACATGTACGCCTATGTTATATAAAAAAAACTTTCAATCAGCATGTCATATTATGACTTATGACTAAAACAGAATGTTGGCACACACAATATAGAAAAAAAAAACTGGCTTACTTTTTTACCTTTATGGGGAAAAAACGAGTGATTTTAACAAGTTTCCCCAGAGAAGATGATTTCAGTGAATGGAAGAGGCTAGCCGTACTTAATGACGGCTAGAC